AAATGCAGAAAAGCGTGTACCTGTTTTTTTTATAGATTACGCAAAGGCATTTCATAAAGTACGCCACGAAGATCTATTGGAACTGGTCAGCAACCTTGACATATTTGGGAAGGATGTTAGAATAATTAAGAAACTGTACTAGCTGCAAACTACCTGAATACTGAAAATAAACGAGTCCAGCAGATATACCAAAATAGAAAGGGGTGTAAGAGAATGATGTATCTCCTCACCGGACTTATTCAATCTATACTGCGAAGCGATTCTGAGAGAACTAGAAGTCCTACCAGGATTCATTATTAGCGGCCACAATCTTAAGAACATAACATAAAAGACATTTTTAGGCAGCAAGTATTCATCCCAACAAGTTTGTTAAAAAGAACTGACAAGTTCTGTCGTTTTAATTATTTACTATATTTTAGTAGATTTTTCCAATTTTCAAATGAGAATTTGAGTTTTTTTTAACGAATTCAAGCTAAGCAAGGCAGTAAAGCCACTAAGACACAATGGGTTAGTGAGTGTAGAAGAAATAAAAACAGAAACATTACTAAGGAACGAAAACAATTGAAGAGTAATTCGGAACAATAGAAGAGTATTCAGGAACAATAGAAGAGTAATCAGGAACAATAGAACAGTGATTCGGAACAATAAAAGAGTAATTCGGAACAATAGAAGAGTATTCAGGAACAATAGAAGAGTAATCAGGAACAATAGAAGAATAATCCGGAACAATAGAAGAGTAATCAGGGACAATAGAAGCGTAATCAGGAACAATTGAAGAGTAATTCGGAACAATAGAAGAGTAATCAGGAACAATAGAACAGTGATTCGGAACAATAAAAGAGTAATTCGGAACAATAGAAGAGTATTCAGGAACAATAGAAGAGTAATCAGGAACAATAGAACAGTGATTCGGAACAATAAAAGAGTAATTCGGAACAATAGAAGAGTAATCAGGGACAATAGAAGAATAATCAGAGACAATAGATGAGTAATCAGGAACAATAGTAGAGTAATCTGGAACAATTGAAGAGTAATACGAAACAATAGAAGAGTAATCAGGACTAATAGAACCGTAATTCGGAACAATAGAAGAGTAATCAGGAACAATGGAAGAGTAATTCGGAACAATGGAAGAGTAATCAGGAACAATGGAAGAGTAATCAGGACCAATAGAACCGTAATTCGGAACAATGGAAGAGTAATCAGGAACAATGGAAGAGTAATCAGGAACAATAGAAATGTAATTCGCAACAATGGAAGAGTAATCAGAGACAATAGAAGAGTAATCAGGAACAATAGAAATTCGGAACAATGGAAGAGTAATTCGGATCAATAGAAGAGTCATCAGGAACAATAGAAGAGTAATTCGGAACAATAGAAGAGTAATTCGGAACAATGGAAGAGTTATCAGGAAGGTAAAGATTGACATTGAATTTGAATTTTTGAAGATTAAAGTTGACCGGAAAACATCTAACTCTAGTAGTTTACCAAAAAGATTTAAAAGACTAATAGGCCTACTGTTGGATGGATTGGTCGGCTCACCTGAGCTTTTAAAAACTGGAACAACAGATAAGGATTTCAAACAAGCAGGAAAAGCAAGAGGCAGCGAGGGATATTTTACAGTTTAGAGCGAACAGGAGCTTTTTCTTAAGAATTCTTACAGGAATGCCAACAGGTTCACATGCGTTTTGGGGAATCCAGATTAGAGATGATATCAGAAACCCTAGGAAGAGTCATAGACATAAAATAGACTCAGTTCTAAGTGGAAAGTTAGGCAAGGATACTCCAGATGAGTTAAGAATTTATGTTAAGAATTTATGGGCAAATCATTCAACTTTATCTGCAGAAGATTTTAACATCCTAAATTGCATGAAGAGAGGAAATATAGAAAACTTACTCTTATATAATTCCTTATTACAGAACCACTAGTAATCACGAGAGCCAATGAGATGCGATACGGTGCCTCATTCTCTCAGTACACAAAGACTAAGTTCTTCGATAACACGTTTACATTTATTACGTGCAGCTACAAATAGGCGTCTGTTGTGATCAGACGTGTCACCCTGGTATAGCCAGAAATAGTGGTTCCTGAGTACTATAGAGGGAGAACATACTGTTGTCAACCATGGAGAAGACTGAAGTTTCACCAGGTATTTCTGCGAAGGAATGACAGTATATATGCCTGCTTTGACGCAAGAAGAAACCTCAACGGCGCAAGTCTAAATAGGAAGGTTAAAAATATCACGTCAAGGGTCGTCTCATAGAAAGTCACGTAGTGTATGCGAATCAGTATGCTGATAACAGAAAGAGGTTTTATGAAGAGGAGGTTCGTGTCTAATAGATGATTGTAACGAAATATAAATAGATTCTACAGAGTGATCTGAGTTGCCAAAAGGACAGTGTTGCGAAACTAGGCAAGAGATGGCAGAGGGGGTTAGAAATTGATCGAGAAGCATTTTTGTTATCGGAATCACCCTGAGTGAGCCAGTAATGCCACTAAAACACAACGGGTTACAGGGTGGGGAAGAATTAGGAACAGGAACATTAATGATGAGCAGAAATAGAAGAGAGTAATCAGGAGGACAGTAGATAGCAATTGACATTACATTTAAAATTTTACAGGTTAAAGTTGGCTGGAAAGCATTGAACCGGAAGGGAACTACACTAGCGAGAAATGAGAGAAAAGAAACTGTTTGCATAGAATGTACGGTCACATCTAGCAAAGCATCAGATTTATTAGGGGAACAAGTAGGAAAATCCACGATTTGAGTAATGAAAAAAATGAAAATTTGAATACCGGCAACATTAAATCCTCAAGCAACGTGTCGCAGATGGATGAATAGATAGTGATTTGTGCTTGAAGTTGTAGATAAATTGTCTGAAGTTCATATTTTGTTATTTTTGTTCAAGTACTTTTAACTTTCATAGTCATTATCGAGAACCGATGTGGTAGTTTGTTATACTAGAACAATACCTATTCTATTGTAATAGACTCTCCCACACATAATAAGTAGTAGTAGTAGTAGCGGTCGCCAGTGGAGCTCAGTGGAGTTGAGTGAGTCAGTCGATGTCGGACATTGAAGTATCAACCATCACAACTAGATTGCTACGTCATTAACTATTATTGCAAGTTCCTAACGTTTTGTACGTCGGACCCTTTACAAGCCTCCACTGTGAAAACTACTCTGCAACATAGTTAGAATTCCTTTGTCTGCATTTTGATATTTCTTGGGAAGCTGAACGTTTGAAATGGTCTAACGTGACGTAATGTATAACAGCTACTGTGAACGATGCAGCACAAAAACAATGTGATATAGTTATTTATTTTATTTTACTCTTGATGTCATGCTAGACCCATTAGCTAACTGATAGCCAAATGCCACTTTAAGGGGTCATCTTTCACTCTAAACAAGCACAAAACTGCCATTGAATTTCGCTGAAGGGGGCTGTTTCTTTTTCGTCTTAATCTTAATATTAAGCTGATAGCTAAATAAAAAAAAAAACTATTGAGAATAACCAAACCTCATCCGTCCTGGGTAAGACGATAAACCACATCCGACAGCAAGGCCTTTGATCAGAATATTTTGAAGAGCGTGAAACCACGTCTTAATTGCTGATGTTCCCAAGTCCTCCCTGACCCGGGATGTAGCATTTTTCAGGGTCTCATCTATGGGCAATTAGTTAACCACCAAAAGTATAAAGTATAAAAACAGGTTTTGATATCAGCAATACTTTTTGGAAAAAAAATATTAGCAAAAATATATAGTTGAAAAAAATTACCAAACAAATATTGTTGAAAAAAAATTACCAGCATTACATTTTTGAAAAAGAAAAAAACAAAAAAATACCAAAAAAATAAAACAAATTTACTACCAATACATTTTGAAAAAAAATATTACCAACAATATATTTTTGAGAAAACAAAATATTACCAGCAATAAAAATCTTGTCGGCATTAAATAGCCCATTGAGGTTGATATAACGTAAAATAACAAAAAAAGAAAAAAAAAAACATCGTAAATGGGAGTGACTTTATAGTCAGTCAATATTACACCCTTTATCGACTCCAATAGTTCTAGTTTCAAGTTCGATTACCCACCAATCTGAGAATCTTTTCATAAATTAACCTTGTAAAAATGGCATCAAGTTTTGCTATTTGGACCTTTTCAATTTTGTAAATTTGAAGAATAATCAAATGATTTGAAAATGAACTCTTTATTCATGAATTTGGTAATTTTTCCGATCTAAAATGGAGTCTCGCTAATCATTACACATGATGAGCCTCTGATATGTTACTCTGATATTACGTCAGTTCTTATCCTGTTATTTAATAACGAAATTTTACTGGAATCTATTGAGAATCAAAATCACTTCTAAACAGAAACTGTCAATAAGATGGACATCAGTACAAATTACACCACACCAAGTTACATGTGAAAGATTCTGAAAATTTATATGAAATCTTTATAATAATATTTCATGTAAATACATTCTTCATGAAAAGTTATCAAGTTTCTGCTTGTACATGTCGAAGTTTTTTATTCTTGTGATCAAATGTCGAATGGTTATTGCTGTTGCATTTTGTATAATCCGATAGTATTTTTTGTACTTGTTATAATACAATGACGTTCGAATTGAATTCAAAAACTAAGTCTTGTCATCACAATAAAATCTGGAGTTTTCAATGAAAGCAAATGGTATTTAGTGAAGAATGTTTCACTCCTATTTTACAGTGAGATATTTAATTGTTTATTTTGTACTTTTGTTTATCTATTTCAAATATGAAATCAGTATTTTTATTGACTGTAATGAATATTTTAATGAGACTTATGAATAACAAAATTTTTAAATTAGTTTCCTTTCTATTCTGTGTCTTAGATGGAATGAATATGAAATTAAAGATTTTGAAAGAATTGAAAATTTAGTTAAACTCCTACTCGAGTTTTTCAAGTAATGTTAATTAAAATTAAAAATGATTAGATTTATCCGAATTGTTCAAGTTCTAATTATTCATTATCTGACTTCTAACTCCAACATTTTTCCTTCTTTTTCTTTTCTTTTTCTTTCTTTCTTTCTTTCTTTCTTTCTTTCTTTCTTTCTTTCTTTCTTTCTTTGTGCTCTGTTCGGCATATGCGGAAACCGTAAAAGTCAACCATTAATTTAATTTGATTTAACTTTATTAAATTTTAGTTTAACATTCATTCATTCATTTTTCTTTCTTTTTGTCATTCATTCTTCGTTTTTTCATTCTTTCTTTTTTCTTTCTTTCTTTCTTTTTTTCTTTTATTCATTATTTATATTTTCATTCTATATTTCATTATTCATTATTTCTTTTCGTTTATACACTTTTGCCTCAGCTTCGTATTTCATGAAACCGTAAATATCAACTTAAAATGGTTTATTTGATAAACTTTTAGTTTTGCATATTTTACATTTCTTTCTCATTGATTATAATGTATTATCATTTGTCTTCATTTCAATGTAATGGCATTTTTTTTTTTTTTTTCAGATTCTTCAGACAACCCACTGTTGATCTATTCGCTTGAACCAATAAAAGAAGAATGGTAACAAGCTATGGCCATCTCTCTTCCATTAATTAGGCATTGATTAAAATGTTGATTTTGCACAAAATATAATTAAATATAGAATCACAATTAATTCATCTTGAAATTAATTAAAACTTTTATAATTATACTCTCACTATATGCTCGTGTTTTAATATTTTTTAGATACAAAAGTGATTCGACATATATTTTCATAATGCTTGAATCTTATATTCACACATGGTAATATCTGCATTTTTTTTATATATTTAAACAATAGTCCGAAAATATTTCATAAATTATAATCGAGATGCTCGCTAAATTTTAGGCAAATATGTGACAGGGAAAAATGGTGACAGGAAAAACGAATGTGTATTAAATAGATTGGTGAGCACCTATCGCTTTATCAATTATGCATAGATATAAATGAACGTCAAATCGTGATTATTTTTGTGTCTCACGAACAAGTTTCTTTTGTTAATAAGTCAATCAGAAAACTATTTTGCAAAGATATCGTATACAAATTCGTAAATAAATTTGTAACGGTTATGGCTGATGTTTATAGCATCGAATTGAAAGAAGGTTTTTAAACTTTCTTCTTGGTATCTAGGAAAATAAATGTTTATATAGTTTTGTATATCAAGTCAAAATAGAACAGATACTACACCATCATCATCGTCAACATCATCATCATCAATCCCATGACCGAATGTAGTCTTAGGACGGCTGGGCATGTGACTAGCTTCCCCAATTTGAATTTCTATCCTTATCTACAATGAGTAGCTGTATTGTCGAGCCTCATTTATCCAGTAGTAACCACCCTCCATTATTTGTTGCTGTAACTTCCATCGACAACAGAAAATTAGTTTAAAAAAATACTCCAAATTGCAAAAGTTCAAACCACACGCAAGTTCAAATTCATTGAAAGAAAATCGAATCCAGGCATTCTGAAGATCATCATCATCATCATCATCATCATCATCATCATCATCATATAAGTTACCTCCCTTGAATTAAGATGCTATAATTTCTGTCTATATAGTCCAACACATAGTTTTTACAATAGTCATTTTTCAGAGAAAATTATTTCCCAAACCATTTTTACTCAATGTCCGCATCTCATAAAATCTGTTAATTTCAATGACATCATCATCATCATCATCATCATCATCATCATCATCTTCATCAGTCCCATGATCGGATGTCGTCTTAGAAAGGCTGAACATCTGACCAGCTTCCCTCGCATCCCTCAGGCCATTCGGTGACATTCTCAGCCATTTTTTCCTCTGTCTGTCACTTATCTTTTTCCATCAGTTGTCATTTTCTAGGATGGCAGTGCAAAGATTAAATACATATTGATACAATTTAATGATCACAGGGTTAAATACGAAATTGTTTGCCTTTTTAATTTTCTATCCTTACCTTAGATTTATCAACTCCTTATAGGGAGTAGCTGTATAAGTGTCAAGTCTCATTTATCCAGTAGTAACTACTCTCCAGTATTTGTTGTCGTAACCTTCCTCGAAAACAGAAAATTAGTTTTAAAAAAAATCGTATTCCAAATTGCATAAGTTCAAACCTAGCGCAAGGTCAACCTCATTGAAAGAAAATCGAATCTAGGCATTCTCAAGATCATCATCATCATCAAGCATTCTCCAGATCATCATCATCAACATCAATAATAATAATAATAATAATACTAATATAAGTTACCTCCCTTGAATTAAGATGCTATAATCTCTGTCTATATAGCGCAGCACATAGTTTTTACAATATTCACTTTTCGGAGAAAATTATTTTCCAACCCCTTTTAACTCAATGTCCGCCTTTCATAAAATCTGTTAACTTCAATGACCGGAAATTAAGCTTTGAATAAAGCTATAAAGAATCAGCTGGAAATTTTAGATTTTCAGGATACATTTCCGTTTGCGTCAAATAACAATTTTAAAAATGCAGTTGCAATAAGCCTGATAATGATAACATCCGTCGAGAATTTGATTAATAATTAATAGAAGCAAATCTCTTTTTATTAATTTTTACGTTAATTCTTTAAACATTTGAAAATAAATCATAATATTCAAAATGGAACTCATTATAAAATTAAGTTACCATTAAAACTCTTAAAGTGCATTCGAAAAAAAAAATTAAGTAAAAATCCGTATAAAAAAAACAAAACAGGCAAATAAATTGCTTCCTCCAAATCTGATCATTGTCGCCGCTTGTTTCAAATTTGTTAAAGAGGAAGTTTAAAAAAATTGAAGAGAAAGTAATAAAAAAGAATTGCAACAAAAAAGTTAATTACGTCAATTGCTAATAAAAAAAACATTAATAATTGTTGTGTCGAAATGGCCGTCAAAGAAGAACTTTTAGCAAATAATTTGCCCCAAACCACGACCATAAATCCTATGGAAAACGTAACCCTTGAATATGATTATGACTACACTCTATCGGTGAGTACACTACCCTTGTTCGAACTCGTTCCTGTTGCAATATTGTACGGGATTACATTACTGCTTGGCGTTACTGGGAACGCATTGGTTATTTTTTCAATCGCCCACTACCGAAGGATGCGGACACTCACAAATATATTTCTGCTAAGCTTGGCCTCGGCTGATCTTATGCTCATTGTTTTGTGTGTTCCTATAAAAGTAAGTAGTTTTTTCATTCTCTTTTGACTTTACTTATTTGAATTGTATCCCACCAGTTCAAAGTATTTTCTTAAATATCACCGATTCGTATGAAAAAAGAAAATTTTCCTTTTATGTGCCAAGTCCTTTTAGGATGTAGCCAAACCGAATTCTGAAGATCAAAGTTGAATGGAAGCAAGCGTTCAACAAGCGAGAAGTGCGAGAGAAGCATCAGTTAGCATAGAAATTAATGTTGAATCTCTGTATTTCAACTGTAAAATCATGGGACCTTGTCACCAAACTGATACTGCGTTTCAATTCATAAAGAAAATAGAGGAAATGTTCACCAGAATATCTAACATGGAAGTATTTCTAAAAGGCACAGAAATGTTATGTTACTGTAATGGGAAATTATGTGATAATGTTATAACGTTAAATCCAAAGAAAGGCTGGCTCTAGACCTAACCCGAGTTTTCCGCTCACGCGATCTTCAGACAACTTTAACGACTTACACACACATGCACGGACGCACGCACACACACACACACACACACACACACACACACACACACACACATATATATATATATATATATACTGAAAACAGCCGCGCCTAATAGGTATAAATAACAAAAATTGCTGAATACAAAATTCAAAATCGAATATATAGTCCCTAAGATATTTAAGAAATGGCTAAAATGCCAACCAACGTCGCAACCCGGGTTTCGAGAGTAAGGACTCCTTAGGCAAGTGGAAGATTTAAAAGTCGTTCACTCGTCAGTAATTTACAATCGCCTGATGAGATGCATTGATACGCATCGAACCTCGACTGCAATTGTGTTGCGATTTTTACATGTTTTTGATGCAATATCCTAAAATAAATTATATTGGTCTAATTTTTATTAATCTCTTTCAAATTAAATGTTACAAACATTGGAACTGTACTGTGTTCGTTCTCATCTTACACACACACACACACACACACACACACACATATATATATATATATATATATATATATATATATATATATATATATATATATATATATATAAAAGAACAGTAAGATATATAATCCGGTGTTCTTATTGATATTTTTATTTTTATTTTTACAAAACAGGGCTCAATGTAAATAACTGATACAACGAAAGTTAATAAAAATGAACACGCTACCACCCTTTGTTGAATGATTGGATTTCTCTGTATCCTTGGAAACAGTGAATTATGAATTTTTGTGTGCGTTTAAAACTCAGTAAACTTTAAAAAATAAGTTACTCCAATATTCGCTTGAAGATGAAATGGAACTAATGTTTTTAATTTAATTACAAATTTAAATTTGAAGTTTTTAGCTTCTAATTTTGAAACATGGATATTACTGTGTAGCGAAAAACCAGTTAATTTATAATATATATATATATATATATATATATATATATATATATATATATATACACCCGACTTTAACACTAATACACTCTCAATTCAGAATAGTTTCCTAATTTACCTGAATTTAATAACGTAAATACTTGATAAGTGTAAAGCTTTTGCGTGACAAACAAAGGGTGTAGCGAAATGTACCAAGGTATCAACAGTTTTCTCCAAGAATGGTAACATGGCATTTAAAATTAATGACATCAATGTCTAGACGTCTACGCAAACTATTTACAGGCGATTTTAATGGAAAATGCTAGATAATTAATCTTTTATTCACCAGCCATATGTACGATGTCTAGCGGTACATCGTGCCTCATTAGATACAAAAAGTACGTACAATTGGAAAGCTATGTTAAAACTAGAAATTACATTTAGATTGTAAGGTTTTTTTCACTATTTACATTATTCGGACTATTGTCCTCATCTTTGTCGCCATTTTTATTACCACGTTTCTGCCGTTGTACGCGTCGGGCCTCTTCAGGTGGTTGGATGTGGAACTGAGCCCTTTATTTCGCTCACTGAGGTAGACTGTTCTAGTTCCACGTGCCATCTCTAATGGATATTATATCAGTTAATTACCCTCTCCAAGTTCTCCACCACCTTTACCAGGTATTGAACTCACACTCTTTGGGTTATATCACTAACGCCTTTATCCACTGTCATGTGTCCTTGAGGACCCCAGTGAGCAAAATGAAGGGTTCTGTTCGACATTCCAACCATCTGAAGAAGGCTCGAGCGTACAACGACCGAAACGTTGTAATAAAAATGGCGACAAAGATGAGGACAATAGTCCGAACAATGTAAACAGTGTACATAATACCTCATCTGAGAAATATAGACAGATACTGAAGATTTTTTTTTGTAGATAATAATGATTTGTTAATTGTAAGGTAACCGGTATTTCAACGTCATATGGCCGTAAACGCATTATACTAGCCGCACATCGAAGCTTACAGCACTTGGT